TAATAATAAAACTGAGGATAATCTGTTAAATATGAGAAAAAGGGGCTGTTAGACGTGTCTGGGTAATTCTAGGATTGACTGTTGGTCTGGACATGTCTGACTAATCGTAGGACGATATCACTGTCAGTGATTCACTGATTCTATAAGTACGAGGAGATAAGTTGATATACTTCTCGGCAGAAACGGCGAGAGGAATGCGAAAGGAAGGCGAGAAGAGGGGAGATGGATCCCCGGCTCGAATTCGCTTTCCAGTTACTGATGAACGCGACGGAGTTGTCACGTCACGAGGTAATGGATCACGTTTTCGAGGGTGGCATGCTGGACGAAATTAATCAACTGTTCCTGCCACACATGAGATCCACGCTCGTCTGGTATTACCAGGAAGTGAGAGAGCCTGAGACCTCGCGTCCTCCTGAAACGGTTCAGATTTTTATATAAAATAAAACTTATGTATAAAGAATAGTTTCGAAAATGAAATTTAGAATCAATTTAAAGGAGTATTTATTTTTTCTATGTACAGTTCACTGTTCGTGTTTTACATTATATATCATGCCTGAATTTAACAAATACATAAATCTTCAGTTTATTTATTAATTAATGCGAGAGATAATTGAATAATTGAATGAATTCGTATAGGTACAACCGAAAACGTCGAGTTCGAGGTCAGGTGCCAGTGCATCGTTGCCAAAGGTCAAAGAGCAAAAGGAAATAAAAGAACCGGGGAAGAAGAAATTGTTTTTAACCGATGGATGGCAGGTCCCTTGCACCGGAACATGTATTTACATGTTCAGGTAACTTCGATTACAATTACATTGCAAATGTTTATGAGAATTTTTAATAATTTAAAGGAATACAAAATATTGGGAGTACAAATTAGTTAGGTCCGTTTTCAAAACATGATTCTGGCTGTTATGAATGTTTCATAGTTATAGCGATTTCAGAGAGCTTAAATATCTGTCAATAATATTCACTTTATATTGCTTTGAGCTTCATACAAAAACCTTGTTTTTTACTGTGTTGAATATGTCAAATTTTGTGCTAACTAAGCAGCATTTGTGGGAGGTTTTCTGCTTTAATTGAAAAAAAAGTGAAACTGAAATGCATAGAATGCTTGTGGAAGTTTATGGTGACAATGCTCCAACTGATAAATCATGTAAGGAATGGTTTCGACGTTTTAAGAATGATGATTTCAACGTTGAATACAAGCCTCGTTCTGGACAGGCAAAAAAATTCGAAGACAAAGAATTGGAGGCATTACTCGATGAAGATCCGAGTCAAACGCAAGAGGCGCTTGCAGAATTATTTGGAGTGACTCAACAAGCAGTTTCCGTACGATTGAAATCTATGGAAATGATACAAAAATAAGGCAATTGGGTGCACAAGACATGACAAAGTTATTCTTCTGCATGACAACGCTCAGCCTCATGTCGCAAAAGTCGTGAAAAAATATTTGGAAACGCTCAAGTGGGATGTTTTATCGCACCCGCTATATTCTTCGGACATTGCTCCTTCTGATTACCGGTTGTTCCGACGGACGCAGCACGATTTGGCAGGTCACCAGTTCACTTCTTTCGCAGAAATCTAAAATTGGCTTCTAACTTGGATCGCTTCAAAAGACGAGACATTTTCTCGAGATGGAATTCGACAATTGCCTGAGAGATGGGAAAAAGTAGTAGCTAGTGATGGACAATATTTCGATTAATCTGTTCATTCGTTTTGTTCTGAAATAAATGCAATTTTCACCAAAAAAAAAACGGACAGAACTAAGTTGTACTCCCGATACAATTTATAATACTTAAATATAGTTTCTTTCATTTTATTTATAAACATGAGAATTTGCTTAAACAAATTGTAATTTGTAATACGTTAAGATTGAACGTGGCGAAGCAATTGCCTGAGGAGGGATTCCAGAAGGACCTTTACACAGGTGTAATTGACACGAAGAAGGTCGGGATAATAACGGCGATACAAAGAGTCGTTGAATACGTATTTATGGACGCGCTTGCACATCCTGGGTCCGAGGGAGAAGACAATTGCCCGATGATAAAGAGTCTTCTGTTACCTGGGCTAAGGTCGTTCTGCAGCGCACTAAAAGGTGAACATACAGAGTCTCCCAGAAAAAGTGTTAGGGTTAAAGAGATGTGATACTGTAAGTGTTTCTGAACAACAATTTCCTTTACTAAAATTGAAAGTGAGGTACGGTTTTTGAATTATTAAGGAAAAATACTGACCAATGAGAGCGCGCGTAAGGGTTACGCTGACCAATGGCCAAGTGCCACGATCCGAGCCACCACTGCCGTGCACGGGCCCTACACGCGCTCTTATTAGTCAGTGTTTTTCGTTAATAATTCAAAACCTATGCCTCATTTTATATTTTACCAAAGGAAATTGTTGCTCAGAAACACCCCTTTTCGGCTCTAACACTTTTTCCGGGGCACTCTGTATTTATATGAACATATTATAATTAACACTAGAAAGACTGAAACTTCATCACTACCATCATCGCGACGGTTCGGAATTGAATTTTCAGGTTTTCCGGCAGCTCTTTCCTCCCAGCGTATCCAGGATTCTATAAAATTTTGCAATTATCAAAAATCACTGTCTAACACAAAAAAATTTTGCAATATCCATCACGTGATTCTTATAGAGTTTCTCGTGTCGAACACGAATCGGAGTATTATATATTATATTATGTAACACACATAGAAATAATATAATGAATACTCATAAAAATCGGAATTCGGACCGTAATACTCATAAAAAGTAAATAACTATTAAACGGGTACCACAAATATATCGGACACGCATAGCTACGGCACTGGCGGACCGCGCGACGATCCGCGATCTCGATTAACACTAGAAAGACTGAAACTTAATAT